CTTTAACAAATATGAAACATAAATACCATAATCGTAGAATAATAATAACATTGTGTAGGTGAAAAAGTATTAAAGATGTCCATACCATATAGTTTCAGTGTATATATACCCATCTATACCCAAAAACTCATTCATCACTCTCATAATACCTTCCTTGAATCAGAGCTAAGAAAATCTTTAGGTCACAGATCATTCTCTCTACTTTTATTTTAATATTATTAAGTCTCTACTCTTATCTTTTGATTATTATATTTTTTATTTTCACGTTCTTGAATTTGCTCTTAGAAAGAAGTATTTGAATCTTTCAGAAAGAAAAATCAATGTCAAAGGGTAAAGTACCTTACGGTATTATCATCAGTGGTGTTAACTATGGAGCGAAGCTAGCTCCTCCGGCCAAGAAACTAGAACCACAAGGCGGGAAAATTGGGGACAGTTGGGATGATGGTGTAAACGACAATGTTCGTATGATAACAGTAACGTACGATGGTTCAGGTGTGAACTCCGTCAAGTTTGAGTACGCATACGGAACGAATACTGTAGTCGGAGACCATCGCGAGTACATCTCCAAAAATAACAAGAAAGAAGAGGTTTCTGCTCTATTCTCGAATTAAATAACCCACTAACGTTACATATATGCATAATTTTGTTTTCTTTCCGTTTTGTACAGGCTCAAAAATGATGAATACATCACATCCATTAAAGGACACTACGGTAAAAGGTTTCCACCTTCTGGAGCCGTGCGTTCTACGATGGAAACACTTGGAGATGAGTATATGACGATGCTTGAGTTCAAGACAAACATTACAACATATCAAGTGTCGGGAACCATTAAACCCGGTTATGAGTTTGTGGACAAACCGTTCAAGTTGGAGGAGGAAGGTCACAAGATTGTTGGGTTCTATGGCAAGTCTACATCTAGAATTCAACAAATTGGTGTTTATGTCAAGCCAATCGATGATGCTCAAGCCAATAGATGATGCTAATAAAGCTTTATATCTTGGCCTTGGTAGAATAATAAAGAGGAATATATTTATGCTTAGCCGATCTCCTTTGTTTGTTATCTTCGTGATTGTTTAATTTCTACTACATATGCTTCTATTAACTCTCTTTCACAATGTCTTATGGATCTTAATTATGTTTACAGTAAAGTTATCAAATAATCTTCAAAAATTGTTTTTGTTATATTATCCAGATATTTTAAATTTATATTTATTCAAGGTAAAAATTAGTTTAATCCACTAAAATCATGCTGTATACATATGTTAAAATGCTCCTTTTAAAAAAATTGAAGGTTCATAAAGAAACATAAAGGTTCATAAAATGCTTATTAATGGCCATGCAGGCTGAAGAAACCCTTGATCTTATAAGCAACTCAGAAGTGATTAATGTAGAAAAAATATGATTTTCTATTATCATAAAACTTGGCTTATTCATTATTTTAACAAATGAAAGTTTATATATAAAGTAATATAGATATAATTAAGCGGCACTTAATATGTAGGTTTAAAGAAATTCTATTACTAACAGCAATTAAGTCCAAAATGAATAAGCTAACCCAATTTTAATGAGAATAATAACCCTCAAAACGTGCAATGTGTTGAGAAAACATTTGCACCAAAATATGAGATAGTTAAAACTACTGTCTTTGAATTATTTGTATCATTAACTCGCCAAAACAAAAATTATTTTTGTCCCTTAACTAGCTTCATCAATAAGTTTTTTTTTTTTTTGTCAAACCATCAATAGGTTTTAAAAGAATCATTCTTGTAAGAATATTTAACCGATAATCAGTATAATTCAAAAAGTTGAAACCTTTGCCAATGTTATTGCAAGTTGCATCAAACATTTTTTATGGCAAATAGGTATTTGCCTTTATTAATCATACGAAAACGGGAAAAAATCAGAAGAAGAAAAATTAAATATGGAGTCTTAATATTAGTAAGGAGAATGAATGAGTGAAGAAAACCAAATCATAGTGGAACACATTCTTTATAGACTAATGGTGACATGGAGAATGGAATCTAATGTTTGGTAAATGAGTCATATTTTTCCACTTTTTTCACAATCTCAGAAATAAAAATAAATGACAGCTCTTTAGTGTAAATAATATTTTGGATTTTATATCTTAACAACAATTACAGCCAGTATATTTTTCATTGTGTTTTGTATTTAATATATAGTATAGTGAACCTAGATATTTGTAAAGTTGTGTATATATTCCACTAAATTCTCATCTTTGCAA